AGGGGGGGTCCCCCCGCCTCACGCTGTGTTGTGTCTGCCGCCTTATCTCAAGGCCCCTCCACCCGCCTCCCCGCCTGCGCTTGGGGCTCCCTGTGCCTTGATGCTCACACAGCTGCTGCGATAAAGACCTCGTGGAGCCAGGGCCCCCCCGCAGGAGGAGGGTCTGGGACACAAGGGGAGCCGCAACCCCGGGGGTCGGCACCAGCTGGGGCCAGCCCCAACTGCACTGTGCCGTGCCAGGCACCCCGGCACGCATCTGGCAGCGCGTTTTTCCTGCTATGCAGGCTCGGGGGCCAAGCGCCGCTCCCCTGCCCCCCATTTCACACAAGTCCCACACCGGGGAGAGGAGATGAACACACACACAGGAGAAAAGAGCGCTCAGCGGCCAGGCCTTTAATTGCTCTGCAGGCTGGCAGCACCGTGGCTGGGCTCTGCTTCAGTCCCAGCAAGGGGGGGAAAAAGGCCCAGAAAACCCTGTCCCAGGGAGCACGGCCCCAGCATCACTGCAGAAAATTCTGCAAAGCCTCTTTTGATACAAAAGGCACCAAGCGTGGTGGGGGCCGTGCAGCAGCGGGGGCCCCGCAGGCACTGGGGTTCATGGGGCAGGCAGCCACCCGATTGCAGGGAGGTCCAGGGCAGGGCCACACCAGGGATGAGGCTGATTCCCCGCTTCCCCTCGGGGCAGGGGCTGCTCTGCCACCCCCCCTGCTGCCACCTCCCTGGCTGCTTCTCCACCATCACCACCCCCGCCAGCCAGGCAGGGCCCTGCAGCAGGGACACGTGTGCCCTGTCCCTCTGTCCCTCCGTCCCTCTGCACAGTCCCAGCTCCCGCTGAACTTCCAGCTGGAAGTATCAGAGCAGCAGAGCCCTTCCCCTGGGCCCTTGCCTCTGGGCTCACGCCTGGGGCAGCCCAGCTTTCCTGGGAACAGGCTCAGGGCAGCCAGACGGGGCCAGCAGGGCTGAGCACAGAGCATGGCGCAGGATGGGTCCCCGGGGCAGAGCCTGAACCACATCTGGCTGCCAGCCTCCCACATCCTGCCCATGCAGGGGAAACGGTGGGTCCAGGCTGGCTGGGGGGCACCGGGGCTCTGCACTTTCATTCCAGCATCGCCAGGACACAGTCGTCAGGCCAGGAGCTGCGGAAGCCTGGAGGCGGGAGGGCACGGGGTCTCTGCCGTCCAACCTGGGGGAGGCTCCAGAGCCACCCAAAGTCACGCTGGCCCAGCTCGGCTGCGCTGCAGCGCCCTGGGGTAGTATTTGAGGAACAGCTTCCTTGAGATCTCCAGCGTGTCCCCAGCCGGCACAGCTGGGTAGCGCTTCTTGTTGTAGACAAAGCCTCTCTCCACCTGGAAGACAGCCTGGTTGAACTGGTCCTGGTGGAAGGGGCTGCCCGAGTTGAGGCTCTCCACCAGAGCAGAGACAAAAAGGCTCCAGCGCATGCCGTAGTAGTCCAGCACCAGCCCCCCCAGCTGCTTGTTGGCATAATCCAGGATGTTCCCACTGGGCCCCCAGAGCGTCAGCTGGTTCCGGGCATTCAGCTCATACTGCTCGGCCTCCCGGTCGCTGGTGGCCACGGCACGGGCGCTCTCCAGCCAGCGGCCCAGCAGGAAGAGGCTGTGGCTGGAGAGGAGGCTATCCAGCTCCGGGAGCAGGTCATAGACCAGGACGCCGCCGGCCGTCAGCAGCTCCGGCAGCGCGTGGCTCTGGAAGGCCCGGCGGATGCTCAGGTAGTAGTCGCTCACCAGCTGCTGAGCTGCCTGCCGTGTGACGTCCACCAGGTCGTAGCGGAAGGTGGGGCTGGAGCCCAGCTCCGCGCCGGCACTCAGCAGCAGGCGCCAGGCCTCGTACACGTCACTGGCGTTGTACCACAGCTCCGTGTCCCTGCGCAGGGAGGGCCGGCGCACC